CTCCGCATAATACATAAAGAAATGATTTCAACACGCCAACCAATCAAAGCGCTCGGTGGTGCTACAGTCGACGGCCGATCGAAAATGCAAACTGACAGTGCAAAGCAGATTAACCGACCCAAAGCAGACAAAAGTTCGACGGCGCCTTTAATTTCTCAAGGTCAAAAGTTCTCTCTCCCTCTTCTCGTCTAGCAGAGGAGTGTTTGCAAGGCAAAAAAGAAGCTAGTTAGCGAATCGAAATTTTGTATAACAAATCAGAAGAACGGTGTGGAGAAAGGGCAGAGATAATGGCGCACTACAAATCATTTGACGAAGGGAACTTGAATTCGTCCGCTGCAAGCCGCTTCGACGAAGAATTTCTAGAAAGGGCGAAGAAGGGCAGACTAGTGGTATTCGGCGACAAAAGTTTTCAGGTCTACTTATGATTCATGTCGAGACTCTAATCAAATGAAGCAAGTAGTAAAAGAAGATGCTCTTTGCAGCCTTAAATAATCAATTTGACCAAGTTATGAAAACCTCGGTAAGATCCGGACTCACGACAGGAAGGGCAAGGCTTGAATGTACTCAAAACACTTATTGAGGCAGGTAGATTAAACATTGATTGTTAAGAAAGCTAGCTTGAACAGTTAGCCTACTGAATCACAATTAGTTAATTCCATAAGTTACAGTAGGCTGGACGGGTAATTTGACCCAAGTGCGATTGAACTCATGGCTCCCGTTGGGGTCACGTATTTGAGCGTTGGATGATCAAAATGGATAGCTGTTACTGTTATCTTTCCAAAACGTATCCCAATGAAATTAAACTGTTGTCTGTGATAGCATGATAGGAGCGCTACCGAATTTACCCTATGTGAGTTCCTATAGGAGTGATGTTGCCACAATGGCTAGAGCGACCGATAGTCCACCAGCCGCACGAGACGCGGAGAAGGTGACTTCCGTGTAAACGAGCAAGTAGCAGTGCCTCAACTCACTCTCTCAAGACCCGCGGCATGTTATAATACGAAGATGACCAGATGCCCAAATGACCAGATTATTTATACTTGTTACGGCTGCCATCATG